GTGCTGACAATCAAGACACTTTCATCATCGGGACTCCTTTAAAAACAGAAACAACGATATTAACATTCATTGTATAGCCTTAAAGTAATACCATCAATAATTTCAAGAGTACAAATAGCAACAAGTATTCGAATTGTAAACATATGACATCACTGCCCATATCGCTCGGTGGTTTGAATGACGGGAGAAGCCGAGCAAACCAAGCCAAGCCTATGTTTCATTATGGAGACTCAGATAAGAACTTTAATAACAGCTATCTTTTCCTCAGCAGCACTGAATTCAGCGTGCTTACTGGCGGATTTAATCTGGTGTGATATTTAATGCAGGGGAGAGGAGTGTCTTCCTGTCCCTTTCATAAAGCCTTAACTCTAAACGAACAGCTGCTGTTCGACCTTACATGAATCACACTCGCGGCCTCTCGCCACAGAACACATGCTAGACTTCCTCAAAGGTGCCGAGATACTCCGTCTCGTTTGCATGCAGATTGGGTTACAGTTTGATGTGTTCTGTTTTAAAGGACGAAATCTTTGGATAAAGAATTCTGTGAGTCACAGACAGTAATATTAGTGCCTGTGGTATTTAGTGAATTAAAAGGTCACGGGTCACTTTTAAGATAAAAACAGGAAAAATTAAAAACTTAAGCCATATTCATTCAGAGGAAGATGTCTGACAGTCCACACGAGAATGTGTAAAAGCTAATATGCTTATTAATGCTTTCAGAAACAAAAAGACATAAGGTGCATTTCAAATAGCACACTTTTCTATGCCTTTTTTTAGTATTCATAGTGTGAATAATGAGTTCACACTGAAAATACCAAAAAGAAAAAGTGCAAAAACTCAGATGAACCCTGGAAGAAAGGAAATTTTGGCCACTTCGTGCACTCGGCTGTTGTAGCTTTCCTTACGAAGTGGAAGGGGAGAGAAAGGTGTAATCTACTAACAACACTGGCACCAAAATGGGTTAATACATGACATTTTTGAGCATTAATTAATAGCGCAAATGGTAGTAAATTGACTACCGCAAACCTTAGTAAATCACCTTGTACGACTTATTTAAATACTCTCCTCCCATTAATAAAAAGGTTTTGAGTTGGCGCAAGTGGTTAGTAAACCTGGCCCCAAATCTGGTTACTGGGTATTTTTTTACAATAATTTAACCCGAATTTAAAATCATTTAATGGATCTAACCCCACAACGTGCACAGAAAAACATTAAATAAGTGTGCAGGTTCTGTGCAGCATTGCTTATAATGTATTCAAAATCATTTATAAAATGTCTGTAACTCATGACTACACTCTACTGGGCTAATGCTGCAATAAAAACAACATTGAATTCATAAATTCATAAATATAATGATATTGAAATAGATATTGAGCAAAATTTGCCTACAGCAGATTATGCCTGACCTATTTAGACTAAATCAACCACTTATACTTCACTTACTCGTTGATCTGAACTGACTTCCTCAGGCTATCCAGGAATGCTGTGCTCCCTCCCTGGTGGAAATGAATAGCTGGCAGCGCTGTGCCATCCTTCAAGCGGAAAGTGATGTAAGACCAGCCCTCACATTTGACTGTGATAGACCTGAGGTCACACACATTAAAAGAGAAGGCCCACTTGTTCCGGTCATTAGTGTGGTTTGATCCACCTGTGACAATATGACAATAAATAATAAGCTTGGTTAGTGTTAGAGATTTCCTTCTTATGGTCTTGCAAAAAAAAAAAAAGGCCAGACACATAATTCACTGACTGATGCACGAGATAACAAGCTGACATTTTCTGTTAGGTACTGGGTAAAGTGCATGGTGACAGCAATTTTGATTTTTAAAGCATTTCAACCACATTTGACTCGTAGAACTGTGCAACTGTTTACCATCTCCATGTGCGTGAGCTTTTCTCCGGAATGAGACAGCATTGATCATGTCCCACTCAGTTTCATAGCTCAGCTGATGGTCAATAGGACGGTGAGGGTTGTCTTCTGAACTCTGGGTCCACTCCACCACTGAGCTGGAGTCCTTCACACAATCAAACAAACAAAAATCAGGTTATCCTTACCCAGAACTATGCAGAATCATAAAATACCAGTACAGAGCACAGACACAACTGCAGAAGTGATTTGAACTCAGTCAACATTAATATGCAAACTCTCACAGATGAAACAGGAAATGCATAATTTATGAATGAACTAACAAACCTTGCATGCACACAGCATGTTTGAGGGATCTGCATCCTCCAGTGGTTTATATTCCACAAGGGTTTCACCATCCTACATTTAAGAAGAAAAAATCAGATATTGGGAGATACTGAGTTTTTTTTTTTATTAATACTTTAAGCAAGGAAGCATTAAATTGATCAGTAGTGATAGTAAAGTCATTTAAAATGTTGCAACATATTTCTATCATAAAGGAATATAAACTAATGATGATTTTGGGTGAACTATTAATATGAAATAAATGTTGTTCTTTTAAACTTTCTATTCAACAAAGAATCTTGAAAAAATGTATCATGGTTTCCACAAAAATATTAAGCAGCACAACTGTTTTATTCAAATTAACAATTATAATGAGAAGAAATGTTTCATGAGCATCAGTATATTAGACTGATTTCTGAAAAATTGTAGTGTATTAGCTGTCCTAACAATCACACAAGAATGTGGTATAACATCTTATGTATGTCACAATGACCCAGTTAAGGTAAATCATAATAATTCTAAAACAATACACTCGTTAAATCTAAATAATATTACTAGCAAGAAATAAAGCAACTGACAAAACCCATACCTTATCAACAATCCTGAGGATCCCCGATATTAAATCCTGATCCTCAGATTCATCTGGAGATGAGTGAATGAAGACTCCCTCGTGTTCAAACACCACCTGCAAAACAGAGAAAAACTAAGTATATGTTAACAGAACATTACAAGGTTTGATTTACAGTGACCAGAGATATTATTCTCTCTAAATAGGTCACTAAAAACCAACATTTCAAGATCCTGTTATGGTACTCTGCGCCCTGTGCCTTAAAAGGCAAGTTAGTCTGCAGCCTGAGGCTTGAACTTAAGGAACTGAAAGCTCCTGTCATACTGACACAAACAGAATGTTCTTGCAGGCTCCCTTACAATAAAAAACATGAAACTGATCACTGCAAAACTAAAAATTACCCCTGGAAAACACAACCTTACAATAACGTGCACCACATGAGCATTGCACATAGTTTCATGTTATGATTTCCATATTAAATATGTGTAGTATTAGTAGCTGTAATTGGTAAGTCACTCAACCATCAAAACATTTTGGTGGTAAAGGTACTTGCTCATGCATAAATAACAGACATGAGAAAACGATACACAAAAAGAAGATGAGGTTCTGTAGTGACAAGAAATAGCTCATTAAGAGAACTGGAAATACTGAAAGCTAGTTTCCTTATGGACTGAATTCACCTGAATTAGTAGATAAACTATCGGTCATCTAACTCAAAACATGTTTATGATCTCTAGATTATGATCTTCATTAACCTGCCACGTAGCTCATGACTCAACACCAGTTAAGTTAAGCACAGACACAACTGTGATTTTGTGTGTTTTCTTAAGTGTTTTTTGTTTTTACTGTCCAAACGCCCCAAACACGATCAATATTGCAGTCGTGGCGTAACTGGCAGCGTAAACGCTGCTTGTGGCGTCCGTGTTTTTCGCAGTTTTATCAGCTGTATGTCAGGGTGTTAGCAGCCAGGCTAACTGTTGCTAAACACAGCAGTTTATCAGACCAGTCTATCATCTATTTCCCAGCACCTACAGCTCAAAAAGCTAGTCAAACAGAATATCTACGAAACAACCCACCTAAAAACAACGGCAAAATTGAGCTATTTGTCGTTTTGACCGTGTATTGACTTATAAAACTGCATGCTCTGTACCTTGGGAGGAGTTGTGGCCGCCATGTCGACTGCTAAATCGAGCACCGCTCACGTGCCTGTCAGCGATCCACAACAACACTGACGAGTCATTTTCCGCATGGCCAACGCCACGCATGCGCACAGCCGCACACACATATTTCAAAACTTAATAATAAGTTTAATTATAAGTTTAATAATAATCATCATCATCATTAGAAGTTTGCAGTGGTTGCCCTGAAACTGCTTTACATTTGTTTACATTTATTTATTTTAGTTTTCGTGTTAATAATCTGTTATTTATATATTTACTTTAGTAATATTATATTTATATATTTACCTGTTAATTTACTTAAAAAGCACACTTCTTTCTAACTTTGTGACGTTGCTGAGTGAAATCAGAAACAGTAACACTCTTTGAATGAAAAAGCTATCGAGTTTTTATGTATTTGTAAGTTGTATAATTTGGAAATATAAATAGTTTATGTCTTCTTTTGTCTCGGTTTTGTTTTCTTGAGTATTCTTGAGTCCTTTTTGTCTTCCTTTCTTTCTCTTGTTTTCCTGAGAGTCAGATCTTTTTTATTGGATTTTTTAAGAAGAAACGGTTACAAAACTTATGTTTATACATCTATATGCATAGTAATCGACTAGATATAGGGCCTATACCTCTTACAACAAAAATTAGTCATATAACTATTATGTATGATCTTTTTTTCAGACAGAAATGTCATCTCAGCTTTACTGTTGTTCTTTATACAAATATGGAATCATAAAAAAATCTTTAAGTTTTTAAAGTCTTTAAGAGAAAACTCACATACATCTAATATTGGGTACAACTGACATATATTTTACTTTATGTATGTTATATTTTCTGGACAGAGTACGAACTTTAATTGTATTGTCAGTCTCCAATCTCTAATAAACAATGGTATCAAAATTCATAAACAAGACTATTATATCAGTTATTTGAATTATTTTGTCAGAAGCAATTAACGAAATTTGAGAACAAAAAGATTTAGTATAACTACAACTGAAAAAATTCAAGCTTTACGAAAGGCTAGCGCAATGCACTGGCTCCACAATATTCGCCCTCTAGTGGTCCACACAGCAGCGGGACTTTTATTTTGAATTGTAACTCGCACTGGCGGGAAACTTGTGTGTCTGTCAGCAGAAGATCATGTACAACAACGGATCTGAGAAGTGAGTGTATTTACGAATGTAGTATATTTCTGTGCGTTCATGTAGACAGTTGTGGAGTGAAGGTAATATTTGACTTGTTTATCCTTGTCAACGTTTCAGATGAGAAGGTCCACAGAGCAGGAAGAATTGTGTGATTTGTGAATCCTGACACAGAGGAAACCGATAAAGGAATGGTTCAAATAGTAATCTCGAGGTTGGTGCGAAGATTTAAGCTAATTGTTTTAGTTAAGACTAATTAAGTTAGTTTTTACAGGTCATGGTCTAAAAGTGCTTGTTGAAAATGGGTTTCTGTGTGTTTTGCAGTAAAGCTGGTGAAGGTCCAGCTGAATGGCTGCTGGTGGAGTTGCAGGGAGAAATTGTGTCCAGACAGAATACTGGACTTGCAGGAAATCTGATGGGAGACCTGCACTATACAAAAGAGGTTTGTCTTCAGTATAAAGTCGGTAAAAAAGAGAAGAAATTGTATTTTTGCAGTACATTGTGAAGTACTTTTTATTCCACACTATTTGAAAGACAGTTTGAACAAAATATGGAAACATATCAAATGAAAAAAAACCCCACTAATATTCATCTAATTACCTATGGTAAATTCTTGACTTGTCCTCTCTCCAAGGGTGTACCGGTGCTAATAGTCGGACATCACATCCTTTATGGCAAACAGGTCAAACTGGAGAAGCCCTTTGCTGTTCTGATGAAGCACTCTGGACTCCCTCGGGATGAAGAGGAAATGATGGAAACCAACCAAGAGAACCCAACATCTTACACTGTTTCCGCCCTCATAAAAAAAAAGCTCATCTTTAAAACCCGACCCAAACCCATCATCACTAATGTGCCAAAGAAGGTATAACTTATGTTCAGATATTAGAGGCTGACTGATCGGCACAGAATTCTAGATTTGTAACCATATGTGAATATAAATGTTGTTTTGAATGGTGGATTAGTATCTTTGTACATTGTTGTCAGGAATGAGTAATTGACAATAACATTGAACAAATATAAATATTATAAGTAATGGGCCTACCGTGAATTTGAAAATCAGAAAAGAAAGAAAAAGCTCACTTTTGAATGGAAATGTATTGTATCAAAACATCAGTTACAAGTGTTTGCAAAAATAATTATATGAGAAATGTCCAAATTGAAAGAATCCAGCTTCTTTTGCATGTACATAAATACATAAAACATAATATGGAAAGTTCATGTGAGATTAAAAAGACCATGATGGCCATTTCTAGGTATTGTACATTGTGGAAATACAGGTTAGCTGTGACACAGACTAAATGGTGGTGTTTTATCAACACTTGAACATTTTATTTTGTGAGTAGACGTAAGCTGCCAGTGGCGATCTGAAAAACAACTGCATTTTGGTTAAAAACACTTAACCTCTTCTATTATGGATTGTGAATAATTTATTATTCTCTAATCTGTAGTTTTATGAAAATAACTTGGCATGTTTTCCATAAAATATAGATTCCTAGGAAAATGTGTCAGGATTCTTGCATGTTTAAAATATCTTTGAATTTTACATTACAAAAATATATATTACTTTACAATAAACTTGTAGAATGTATGATCTAGTTTTCACTGATAAATTAAAATTAAACATCTACATATTAATTGGCTGTTTGGCAGACAGCAGAGCAAAACTTTTTTTCCCCACTGTAAATGTGGCTCTGTTTCTACCGCTTGTATATTGCTTAAACCCAATTTGTCCATGTCTCATTTTTAAGCACCACACTCTGTTCCTGAGGAGCATATCAGTCTTAAAAGTTTGGCACCCAGTCTAATACTGAATTGTATAAAATCTGAAAAACACACAAATGAACAATGCAATTCCAAGTTTGATTGTAAACATGATATAACTGGTTTCATAATTGCATTGTCATCATCTTATATTTGCAGCCTTAAAGGACGCTGCAGTCCACAGCAGTTCACTTTTAAGACACAGTTATCACATGTAATGCACAAGCAAAAGTGTTTCATAAACTCAAAGCTTCTCTCTAAACTTGCACACATATGCACACTAGCCTCAGTGTTTAGATCTCTGCCAGAGTTTAATGTGTGTTTTTGGGGGAAGGGAGCAGAAAACATTAGCTTTCGCATTCATGGCGAACTGCTACTGAAGTAAATCTACTAATTGTTGCATGGGTGGGCTGAGGGTGGAAAAACAGCCCACTGTACACCTTTGATTCTTATATAGTAATCTTTCAAACCACCTAACTTTGCATACCATAAATAAGTTACTTCAGTTCACTTTTTTGTATTGGTCTCTCTAGGTAACTGAACATCTTAATTAAACTAATGGGAATAAAAAGTTTATATGTTACAGGAAAGGGTCGTAAGAATTTGCAAAGGTGGTCAGATTCTGTAATATCTGGCTAACATGCAGAATTAGCTAACATACTTTTTTTTTAATCAATAATCAGTTTGGGGTGAGAAAAAGCAGTAAATATCATGACATCACAAGTGCACATGCCTCTTAATGTTAAAAATGATCTCAACAGGTAATGAAGCATGAATGAAATGTTATTAAATTATAAAACTCAATAGAAAATGACTATTAGAAATGCTGTTCAAAGTTTGTAAACAAAAAACGTAATGTGTATAGTTTCAGGCAGTATAACTGGATATTCTTTTCATGTAATGTAACACTGTTTATACTTTGAAGTTCTCAAGACTGAGGGAAAAAAAATAATAATTTAAGTATCACTTTCCATGTTAGTTATGTGTCTGGTTTCACCACCTATAATAAAATATCATATACTTCAACCAAGTTTGTTTTATAGGTAAAAAGGAGAATGGGAATAAAAATTCGAGACCAATCTTTCCTCCATTTTTTTTTTTTACCAAACACGCTGGAACAAAACCTTCTAGATGCGCTAGAAAATCCTCTTTGGTTGCCTGACATGATCCTTTTCACTGGAGCTGGATGTTACTTGATATTCTTGAACTTTAAACATGTACAGTGTAGTAAATCTTTGTGGAGAACCATAAAATTCTCATTCTCATCTATCTATCATGTTACCCCACAAAAGTATGGGTAGCACCACTATGATAAAATACAGAATTATGCTGGATTGTCAGATAAAGGATGTTAAAATACTGACTGGGTTTGGCAAGCTTAGTGTCTTACACAGGTTTCCTCAAGTGTTGACACACACCTCTCTGTCCTTGACAATTCACATTCTATAGAGTAATAAGTCCAAGCACCAAAATAAACCATTAACCTAATATGAGTGTGTCACCTTAATTACATTAACTTACCACTCTAACCTTTGGCTCAACTTTTTGTTCCCACCTTGGCTGGCCGCCTCCTTATTGTGTGCTTTATAATCACGAGAAGCACCATTCCTGATTTCAGCTTATGTAAATTATGGTTGTCATAAAAACCCCAAGGTTTGAAACTTCTCAAGTAGCCATAGCTAACAACTTGGCTAACATAGCTAAAAAAATAACCATCTAACAACCAACATTCTTAGACTTACACATGATCCATAATTATAACCAGGATTGCAGCACCAGGTAAGGACGGGGCCATTTCAAATGAGCCCTGACAGCATGTAGAGATCTTTTTGGAGAGACCATGCTAGGCTTCGGCATAGGATAGGTGATACTGTTCCTCTCTTTTGTTACAGCGCTTGGCCACTATGGCCAGGTAGAGCACCAGGAGTATGAGCCAGTAACAGGCATAGAGGATGGTACCTGCAATGAGAAGAGCCTTTTCTGTCTCACTAAAGGGCTCTTGGACCTCACAGTAAATGGTGTAAACCACGCCACTGAGCAGTATGGCTGCCCACACGGTCACAGGCACAGCCCCAATAAGGTTTACCACTATCTTTTTCCTGCCTGATGTTCCCCAACCTGCTTTGTTAATAGTCAACAGGGCAAAGATCTTAGCAGGCAGCAGGCTTGACATGTAGAGTAGTGAATACAGTGACATGAAGATCATGACAAGCCTACCCCGCAGGAAGCAGGCATAGGTGGCTTTCACCATGCCCACCAGCTGGACTGTTAGCAAGAAGAGCAAGATGTTCCACAACCGGCCTCGGTAGAACAGGTGGATGACTGTAGCCACCAGAAAGAAGGGGAAGAATCCGGTGACCACAGATTCATAGGTCATCCAGAGGCTGTGCTTGTGGAACCAAAGGGCATTGTAGAGCCACTCTCGAAAGTAAGACTTGCTCCAGCGGGTCTGCTGGTTGAGCCAGCGCAGATATTGCGTGGGGGTCTCGGTTTGGCATTGTGAGCGTGCCGTGAACTTGGTTTTGTAGCCGAAGCTGAGGACGCGGTTGGTGAGGTGCCGATCATCTCCGAAGCTGCACTTGCTTCCTAGGAAGGTCTGGTGGTACCAGGGCTCCAGGAACTGCTGGAGGAGAGAGTTGCGGTACATTCCCAGAGGTCCACTGATGCACTGCACACATCCGAAGTAAGACTGACAAGCCCGCTCCACGTTGAAAGCCATCCAGTAACGGACACTGCTCAGGAAGGAGATCCAGGAGTCGTACTTGTTCAGAATCTGAAAGAGACAATGGAACTCTCAGTAGGTGTTCTATAACGAGGAAACTTACTGGAAAACTTCTCAGTTGTTGAAAGTGACATAAAAATGACTAAAATAGGCAAACTTCTCACCTGAACATCCCCTCCAACCCCACCCACTTCCGGATCTTCCTCTAGAACCTTCAGCATCTCAATGGTGCATGCTGGATCAAGTACAGTGTCTGAATCACATACCTGCAAACAACACCAAGAGATGTATACAATGATTTAGAAGACTTCTCAGCAACTTCAACTCATATACAACTGTTTTCCTTTTTTCAAGTAAGGCTGATGTTGACAATGATTGTCTGAACAATGCAAGGACTGTTGCGAGGAACTAGTGGCACCACAAACATTGGCTCACAGATGTTTCAAGGTCATCTTTGTTTCTAAAGATATCAGTCATATGTTGAACAATGAAAGGCTGATGACAGCACAGGTGTGCTCAGGACTACAGGTGAAGGTAAGAAGACTGATCTTTGACCTCAGTGCGGCAAGGATTCGTATTACAGTGACATTGAGGAAACTATGAGGTGACTCATGAAGAGTGACAGTAAATTATTGGCTCACCGATATTAAAATCCAATGTTTTTGAAAGTCTAAGGGCCAGTTTTACTAAAAAGGGCAAATTAGCACGGGAGCGTAATTCCAAAACGGCGCCAATGGGCGTGGACATTTCTGTGAGTGATTTACTGACAGTGCGCAAATTAAAGAAACAGACGCAACATCTAATTTATATATCGACCAACACAATATACCATGCGCAGCGCAAATTAGCGTAGTCGCAAATAAGCAGAGCCAACACTCATCAGGTGTGGGTGATCTACTTACGACACAGCAGCAAAAATAGTTTAAGACATGATTTTTTTGGGCGTTAAATAATAGCCAAAATACCAGTAAATTGACGAGCGCAAATGTTAGTGAACCGTGTTGCATGATTCATTAAAGGGGTCATATGATGTTGCTAAAAATAACATTATTTTGTGTATTTGGTGTAATGAAATGTGTTTATGCGGTTTAAGGTTAAAAAAACACATTTTCCACATACTGTACATTGTTTCTCCTCTATGCCCCGCCTTTCTGAAACGCGTAGATTTTTACAAAGCTCATTGGTCTGAAAAGCGAGGTGTGCTCTGATTGGCCAGCTATCCAGTGCGTTGTGATTGGCTGAATACCTCAAGCGTGTGACGGAGATGTTACGCCCCTTACCATATTGTGAGGCCGTGTCCGGCCGGAGCGACAAGACAAAAACATTAAAACCCTTTATAAACGAGGCATTTGTTGCATCCAGTGGGGACATAATTACGGATTATAATGACTTATACTGTCTTTTGCCGCATAAACGTAAAACCATGTCTGCATTTGTGATCGGAGAAATGACAAACAACAAGTGCTACTCTACACTGCTCAAAACACTGCGTTTGAATCGTGAAAACATACTTACAGGCTGTGAGTCAGCATTATTTGTCAGAACACCGGCATTGTAGGCTACTCTCCCAGGAAACAG